CACTGTGCTGGGGATGGAGGCAGCTACAGTGCCAGAGGCTGCCTGGGCCGAGGTGGTGGTCACTCTGCCTGGGGACAGTAGTACTCACAGTGCTGGCTCTGGTCTGGCCCAGGCGGCGCTGACGCTCCTGTACCCGTTGCAGCTGCTGCTGGTACCACTCACGGCCCCTTGCCATCATCTCCAGGCCCTGCAATAGCACCTCCTTCTCCTGCTCCAACTCCTTCATCTGCTTCAGCTGTGACATGTGTGTGCACAAAGGAATGCACATGTGCCAGGGAGCATGCATGCATACTCACAGGCCCACGTGTGCCTGTGTGCCAGGAGGCACAGGCATGCAAGCTGAGGCACACACAGCACAAGGACATTGACATGTGTGGGTTTACAAACACATGCACCAAGGCCCCACAGCACCCTTCTGAGATACACGGCACACGTGTGACCATGCAAGCCTGCAGTCCTGTTCCTCCTCCTGAGACGAGAGGAGTGGGATGGGTACTGGCTCTCTCAGCCCCTCACTCTGGCTTCCCCAGGGGAGAGGTGACTGGACCCTGAGCTCAGCCCCTCTTGGGTTTGCTTGTGTTGAGCACAGAGCTGATGAGTGGGGCTGGCCTGCCAAGCTGACCTCATGGAGCAGCTGGCTGGGGCCCATGGCACTGTCACACCTGTTTAAAGGACCTGTTGACCTCTGCCTGACTCTGAATGGATTCATGCCCAGGTAGGGAGAGTTTTAGAACCGATAGATGCTCCCACTGCAGGCTCTTCCCTTTCAGCCTTATGCCTCCCAGGCAAGACGGAGGGTCCCTCAGAGGCCCAGGCCCCCACTCACCAGGCCGCAGTCCACACCATTAGTGATAGTGTGCCTCCGCCGTTCCCCTCGGGTGCGGGTTGCCCGCCGGGCATCCCCTGAGCCCACTTCTGGGGCCCTGCAGGCCACTGTACCTGTTGGAGAGGTACAGGCCTGGCTCACCTCCTGGCCACGGTCTGCTATAGGTACAGCGTACCCATCAACTTAATCCTCCCAAGGTCTCAGGCACTGGCCTGGCCAAGCTGGGGTGTGGTTCCTACTTACACCCAACTCCCTGTCTACAAAAGTGGGAGCAGGTGTGGAGGAGGGTACCCTCCTTGGCCCTCAGCCCATCCCCAACACCAGACTCATCCTTGGAGGTCATGCCCTGGTGCCCAGGCCACAGGAGAGGGTATGAGATGCAAGAATCGGCCTGGGTGTCCACGGCAAGGAGCCTCACTCCATTCAGACCCCAGAGTCTGAGCTCCAGTCTGCTGTGCTGAGTGGCTCCAGGGCAAAGCAATGGGAGGGCACTAGCCATGCTTCTGCCTCCAGGAGGCTGGGAAGAGAGCCTGGGCCTGGTCTGCACAATCAGGTCCACAGGGCAGTTCCCAGTCCTGAGGTGATGCAGGTCTGATGTCCAGCTGGGTGACCAGCAGGCCTCTGTGCCCCCAGCAGGGCCCTGAGCCAGCCTGGGGTGCACACCCAGCCCTACATGGGGACAAGGAAGGAGGACTTGAGCCCCTGGGCAGAAGGCTTAGGAGGCAGTGTGTGTTGGGGGGCTTTACGGGGGAGTTGGGGTACCCTTAGAGCTCTAGATTTGGCACCCCCTTATGTCAAGCAGCATGCCATGCCCTTTATCTGGGCCTCAGTTTCCCTGTAAGAGGGTGATAGCTAGAACTGGGGTGTGTGTGTGTGACCAATTGAGACTGCCTTGTGGTACTTATTGGCCACATGGATTTCTGAGGGGTATAGTCACTGACCCAGTGCCACATGGGGCCAGCAGAGTGGAGGAGGACTGGACCAGGGGCCTAAGGCCTCCAAACCCCAAGCTGGTCCATTACACGAAATCCCATGGCTGATTTCAAACTAGATAGCCACACTGATGACAATGATCCTGCATTTGGGACAACCTACAGCCAAAAGCTCCCCTCACCATAGGGACAGGGAGATTGAGTGGCGAGGCATGGGGGAGCCCCCAGCCTGGTGTGGTGTTGCTGGATCAGTCACTACAGCTACAAGCACAGTTATAGGGTAAGGCAGAGGGGAGAAGTCCCTAATGGCCAGTATAGCTGTGGGCCAGACAACAGGGGCTGGCAGCTGCCACTGGCAGACAGGCCTGCACCTGGCAGGCACGTGCACAAGCTGAATGGACTGGGGGCAGGGGGAGGTTGGGCTCCTCTGGGAGCCTGCCCCTCCCAGCCATAATGCAAGTCCTGTTCCCAAAGCAGGTGCCGGGGGTGCAGACAGGGGGCCATTCACCAGCCTCCTGTTGCTGCCAACTGCACCAGAAGCCAGGAGAGGAGCCTGCCAGGCTTCCCTAGAGACTGTGGTTTGTATCCCTCCGTGCATCCACCATGGAGCAGTGAGGTCCTCCTGGGCCACCTCCAGTAGCTCCTGCCTGCCCTGGCTCAGTGAGGGTGAGTCCAGCCCTCTTGGCTGAACTGTCATACTGAGGACACTGGGGCTGCTTGGGTACAGTCTGGGTGACCCACTCCTCTAAAGGGAAGCACTTCTGCCTACACATCCACAGACAGGAGGCTGGGGGCCCAGGCGACCCCTGGTGTGGGCAGGTACTGGAGCTCAGGCTTGTTACAAGCTCCCAGGTTTTCCAAGTAGCCCACCAGCCTGTGGCCTTGGAAGCCTCACGTGGTGGCAGGTAGCCGGCTGGCCTACATCGTTGGGTTGCCCCTGAGCACACCGAGACAGACACGAAGTCCATTTCCCCCCAGGACCGCGGAGGCACGCTCCAGGCTCAGGCGTCCACAATCCCCGACCCTCATGGAAGGGTCACCCGCGACAGTTGTCGTGGTCGTTTCGGGCACAGGCCGTGGGGGCTACGAGGCGGGGCTGGGGGCCGCCCCAAACTCACCAGCGTTGGCGCTTGGGCTCCTCTCCAGTGCCGCACTCTGGGGTCGCTCGGGCTCCGCGGGGAACGTCGCCGCCTCGGCCGGGCCGCACAGCTTTTCCGGGCTTCGAGCCGCACCGCCGGGGCCGCCGGGAGGAAGACGCGCACCCGGGGCAAGAGGCTTGCCCTCCAGTACGGTCCGTGGCTCGTCGGCTGGAGCGAACACCAGGCGCTGAGGCGGCAGCGGCGGGTCTCCGGGTCGGCCCCGAACGCGGGTCGGGCCCCGCGGGCCGCCCTCGGCACTCAGCAGCGAGGTGCGCAAGCCGGCCACGAAGCGCTCGAAAGTCAGGTAGCCACTGGCCGGGGCCACCTGGCGTAGGCCTTCGAGCACACCGCCTGGCAGCTCGCGCGCGTCGGCGCCCTGCCAGCGGGACTCGATCTCCCGCAGGTGCACGCAGCCGCGCCGCCGGTCGTCCAGGATGTCGAAGAGAGTGCGCAAGCTCTGCAGGAAGGCGCGCGGCAGCCCGTCCGTGCTGGGTGCGGGTGCGGCGGGCGGCACGCGGCCCCGCTCGGCCATCGCAGCCCC